AATCACTAAAAGCAATATCCAAGGAGGCTTTCGAGGTGCTGGCTTGGTTTCCTTTGATCCAGAAGCGGTGATATCAAAGCTTAATGTCAAGTTGCGTACACCTTCACCATCTATTGTCAACGAGGACTCCTGGCAGTCACAAACACCAAGCAACCTCCTAGAATTTGGGTCCCAATCGACACTTGTGAAGGAGAGGATTCAGAGACACCTAGATAGCTCACCAACTAGCATGGTTGAGGCCTTTGAAAAGTTGGCAAAAGGTGCAGCATTGGTAGCGCACAAGCTGGTATTGGCACAAAAAGAGATCGCTGAGCTTCAAGTGGCAAACGAAGCCACCACATGACGTAAATCATATAAAAGAAAGCATATACAGCATGAAGAGGTACTAACAGCTGAAGAGGGCCTACGGCTAGCTACTCTTAAGGAGTTTGCAGTGTATGGTGATGAGAAGAAGGCAAAGAAGAGGGCACACACTGATAAGGGTGAGCCTACTCAACAACGCTGTGGACGCTGCGGTGAGACTGAGCACAACTTATGTATGTGTAAGAAAGAAGTAGAAGTAGATTTGGAATAGATTAGCTTATTACGATTTTTGAAAATTGTTCATGGTTGTATTGTACTGTCGTAAACAGTATGGATTTTGGTAGGATCTTGGCAGAAGTGGATGGCTCACCCATGTGGACAGCTCACCCGTGAGGTACATTAATCTGTTAGAGGATCCTAGTATAAATTAGCAGCTATATATAGGCTAGAATCTGCTTATTCTAGAGCTTAGATTTAAGCTCTATGTAGCTAAAATAATTATTGTAGAATGTATAGAGGTGCGTAAATAATATTAATATATTGCTCTTAGAACTTTCTATCTAGGCTTAAATAATATATAAGCTTCTAATAGCAAGTAGTATAGGTAAACCTACCTTATAACTGCATAAGCTCCCTCTACTTTTAATATAGCTATAAGGCTGTAATAGATAAACTTGTTAGTCTATGCACTTACAAGCTTCTCCTTATAGCAATTAAGCTAGTACCTTATAAGATAATTATATATCTTTTTAAAGATACTCTTAATCTCCTCTATAGCAGATTTCTAGGCTTCTTCTGTTAGAGAATCTATCATCTTGTAATATAGCTATATAAAATTGTTTATAGCTTTAGAGTCTTCTATTTAGTTAAGGCACTTGTTAAAAACTCTACCTAAGTTACTATAGCAGACCTAGGCAAAGGCGAGTACAGATTTGTTTATATGCTATTAGCAGAGGATAATTTAAGCTTCTATAAATACAGATTTAAGAGCGTTAATACAGGCATTATTATTATTAGTTACAGCAAGTTATATAGTTACCCTATAGCTTTAGAGGAGCTCCTTAAGATAGCAGAAAATCTAGGTAAAATCTGTTTTAGCTACATTGCATATAAACGCTATGCCTAGGTATATAGTCTTATTATTAGCATCTAAGCCTATAATATTAAGCAGGGAAATATTATAATTGTTTGTTTTATGTGTATAATTAAGCAGGATAGCGTTGCCTAATTTTCTAAAGTTTTTAAAGCAGTTAGGGTAGATAGTAATAAGGGTTTAAAGATAGTTATAGTTGTTGTATTTCTTTCTATAAGGTGTTAGTATAGAGTACAAGGCTTAGTTAAGGCCTGTACATAAGGAGTTAAACCTAAACAGGCAGAGAAAAAAATCTTAATACTACAAAACTAACTAATAGAAGAGTAAGGATAGGAGGGCTAGCCTTAGTAGAAAGAAAATTATTCGCGACTCTTACAACTGCAACTTACCTGTAAAAGTAACTATGCGTTTTTAACCTTAATACTAGCGCCTCTATCTTTATATAAGTGCCTAATTTATCCTTTTTTATCTTCAAGAAATAGTTATTAATATCTTAGTAGGTAATTTAAATATTTAGAAACTCCTTCTATAGAGAAATCTAGCAGTGTTTAGCACCCTTTATTAGCAGGAAAAAGGCCTTAATATACCTCCTTACCTTATTAGTAAGGTAGACCCTCCTGTACCTAGAAATAATGTATAAGTTATAGTATAGTGGATAGTTTTAGAGGACTAATTTTATACTAGATTTCCTATAGATATAGACAATTTTCTACCTTAAGTTCTAGGAGTCTAGCTAGTCTACTGTATAGAAGAAAATAAAATTGTACCTAGTTTTATAGCTAGAAGCATCTGTATAAACCTAAGTCTTCCCCTTTGCTGTAAAGTTAAGCTGTCTTCCTGCGCAATTGCATCTTACTTTAAACTTATAATACTTACTAGTAACTGTTTTCTACTGTCTTTTCTATATATAACTAAGGCTATAGTTCTTTGCCTACTAGGTATAAAATTGCTTGCAGGTAGCAAGGTTATTAAATATAGATTACAGAATAATAGGGTGTAGCTAGTTATCGTATAGCTTAGAGTTATAGAGCTTCTTAAAGCTAAGGTTC